TCTTTTTAAGTCACATTATTCTTAATCATGTGCTTCTTTCCTGTGTTTTTCTCCAGAAGTATCAGGAGACCGCCTGATTGTGTTTTAGGGTAATCCGCTTTTAGTGCTGTGTTGGCTTTATCTTTTTTTGTTTTTCTTCTTTTTTTGTGTTGTCGCTGCATTTTCTTAAAAAAAATTGTTATTTACCAAATCAAGCCCTCTTTCTTACAATTATCCGTGTGGCGATCCCTGGAAGAATTCTTGTCTTCTTCATTTATTAATAGTACGTTCACCTTGTCAGCAGTTTTTTTGAGAAATTGACGACTTCCGATTTTATTTCACTCATCTGCTTAAATTTCGTTCTCTTATTTCATTATTTATCATTATTATTTTTTTGAAGGTAATAAAAAGGGTTCGTTTATTTTTTTGTGTAACCCAAAATCTCTCTGTATCCCAACTTTATCAAGCATTTTGCGTCCTATCAATAGAGCCAGGGCCCCCGGACATAGTTTTTTTCGTCTTTTTAAGATTCTTTTTGGTGTACAGCTTTCCTCCGCTACATTTACGTCATTGAACTTGGTCTGAAAACTTTGCAATCTTTATCTTTGTGACAGTGGTGTTGTCGATCGACGCTGCGGCGACAGCAGTACACATAGTACTGTCAACAGTGTCTTGACTTTGGACTCAGGTGAGTCATGTCTGTGTTCGTTGTACCATGAGGAAGGAACACAAACTGTACGGGGATTGTGTAGTTAGGGACCCTCGCCTTTTTCTAGAGTTCCCACAAAGTTTTATCGCTTCCTAAAGCCTGTAACTTCAGGGAACACTCTCCAAAAATATACCCATCCCTATCTCTTTCAATTTTAGAACCGAAATCAGGCAGAAAATCCAACTTTCTGACCAATTTTTTCGGTACCACGCGAATGTCGCCTCGTTTATTAGTCAGGTCTCCGTCTCTGTGATGTTCAGAGTCTATGGTCCGGAACCAGACTACTCGTTACAGAGAGTGCATTCGTCGTGTGTCATGTGCGGTCATTTGTGCCCCATAATTTCCCTCAAAAACTCAAAACCCTGCCCTCTTTCACAAAATTAATTCTGCACATATTGAAAATGATGTCACTGTCACCTACCTACATGTAGGTGAGTCCAAAAGTTTGGAAATAGAATTTTGTTCTCTTATAGGGAACGGGGTCCCCAACTACACAATCGCCAACTGTACTATGACCATGGCCTATCGGCCATGTCGGCAGTCTGCCTTGGCCCGAGACGTCGGTAATTGAGAGCGATAGTTGCATTGTTGTGTAGCGGCGTCGCCGTGCGCGGGCCGGGCAAAAACGAAGGGTTTTCTGGTGAAAATTTTTAATGCCCCCTGCTGCATCAAAAACAATATCAATATGAAAGGTTACTTTAAATGGAGGATTTCAAACTTCATTTCAAGAAAATTGGACTTTCTGTTCCAGAGATGAATTTTTAAATTAAAAAAGGGTATTTCTTGGAACAACTAGGCTAATTGTAGCCCCACTAGTGTGGCACGGATCACCCGATTTATCCTTAGCCACCCATCCGTATGCGCAATTTCGTGTCGGCGCACTGAACATTTTTGGCGCACCCACTTATAATCATGGGCGCAATTTCTTTTGCATACGAACATGATTCTTGACCTTTCCGTTTTCTAAATACCATTTATTGAATGATTTCACTCACGTTATTCAGGTATTTTCCAGTCTTTTTTCCTCTGTCATTCAATCTAACGAGCTCAGTCTCACAGTTGCCATCTTTAAAATAAGGTCGTTGAGCATTACGTCAGTTGACCCCTCGTCGTCTCAGCGGCTGTTCCATGTCAAGACATGTTATAAACGGACTGAGCGATAAGATACTACATTTACCAATAGACTCTTCCAAAACTTTGGCAGTAGTTTAGATGTCTTGACATGGAACAGCCGTTGAGACGACGAAGGGTCAAGTGACGTAATGCTCAACGACCTTATTTTAAAGATGGCGACTGTGGAGAGAGCCCGTAAGATTGAATGGATAAAGGAAAAAGACTGGAAAATACCTGAATAACGTGAGTGAAATCATTCAATAAATGGTATTTAGAAAACGGAAAGGTCAAGAATCATGTTTGTGTTCAAAAGAAATTGCGCCCACGATTATAAGTGGGTGCGCCAAAAATGTTCAGTACGCCGACACAAAATTGCGTATACGGATGTGTGGCTAAGGATGGATCGGGAGTGAGAGTCCGTACCACACTAGTGGGGCTAGGCTAATTGCACTTAAATATATGCAAAAGTGTGGCACCATTTTTGCTAGTTTACTAATAAAAAACTTTAAAAATGGTGAATATTTTCACCATAGATTTCCAATTCACACCAGGTTTTCCACCTTTGATAAACTGACAAATGCCCACAATTTTATATTTCTTAAAGATCGGTGAAGTGCTGGATTCTAGCCGTTGCCACGGAAACTCGACTTTAATATCACAAGTCAATACAAAAATGTGAAAACATCAATAACCATTGTGAAATGTACATCACCAGTGATCAGCTAAATTTCATGATAAAGCTACTTTGGGGATATGTGCCAATTGAAATAATGTCAACCCTTGCCCAATAAATGTTGTTGCCATGGAAACAAGCCAATACACTTGTCATGTCAAATTAAATATGTAACGTTATACATGTACATGTAGTCACAAACTAATGTGGTTGATTTTGCTCTGATTTCATTTATTCATGTGCCTGAGGACAACTTTTTATCTAAATCTAGAATAAGAAAAATGTAGTTGTTTCCATGGAAACCTTGTTGTTTCTAATTAAGCCAAACAAAAAAAATGGTGTGTTTAAGGTAACCTGACCGACCTGGAATTTTTTTGGCCAAATTGCCGACCTCAAACTATTTATTGCCATTTTGAAGGCTGAAATAATAATTTTGAATGAACAAATTTCAAACATTTTAAGTATTTTAATTTGCCACAAACAAACATTGTTCACCCTTGAAACTGACCATGATTTTGACAAAAACATATCTGTATTACCGTTTAAATAAAATAAATAAAAATCGCGACAATCTCAGAACTTAAAGTTTGCATTAAAAAATGCAGTGACTTGAACTGGTGTGCGTGGAGAGCTCACTTTAATCTGATGCATGAGGACGAGCAGTGAGCACCAGCGAATAAGTGTTAAGGTTTTCAGGCCCTGATCTGTGCCGCACCACGGCACAATTCCCCTACAAATAATTCACATACGTCACGGCCAACTTTGCCAAATTTTTGAAATTGTATTCAGGATTGTAAATTCTCTGCTGTTAAACTCTTTTATTGAGCAATTCAGATTTTTATTTATTATGCGATCGTGAAATGCAACATAGGCCTACATAAATATGGTTTGTTTGAAACATTTCAAAAGAACGCGCATGGGCAAGCAGAAGTGAGATAAAAAAAATTCACAATATAAAATTATTTTCCGACTTACCTACCTGGAATTTTTTTCAGCCCTTTACCATATACACAATATATTTTGTTTGGCCTTAAGTGGATCAAGGCCATATTGGCATATTATGATGTACAAAAAGTGTCAGTGAATGATCACATTCACAGGTGAAAGTGAAACAATGATAAAACAATAACAGTATTAAACAAGAAAAAAAAGATACAAAATAAAAAGTATGCTTCATTGAATTATTGAAAAAGAAATGTGTTTAAACTTTTTTTCATTTAAAAGTGAAAGACATTTCTGTATTTGATTTGACAATCTGTGCTTGACACACCAGTACTAGGTAGGCCTACGTACCGATACGTGCAGCATGCGTGCAGCGCTGCAGTGCAGTGATGTCTCACAATATTCCACAAATCTCGAATTTCAAAAAGTGACTGTAACTCTTCAAAAAGTTGTAGAGTATTGGGCAGAAAAATTTACCAAATCCTCTTCTGATCTGTCTACATTCTGAAGTTTTTTGGACCGTGAAACTATTTCAACGAGCGATCAACACATTTTTTATTCATCGCGCGATCATGCCGATTGCGATAACACCGGCCCACATGCGATGCCATGTCTGGTGCAAATAGTCATCGCCCCAATTCAATGCACATTCCTTCATTGCTAATTGGTATTGGGAACTTGACCAAGAATAGGTGCAAAGTTCCCGGATGCCAGAATTTGACGCCACAGCTTGGAGAACACCATTTTTAGAAGGGGTGTACGCATGACTTTCGTTTAAAAAATCACATAAAATGAAAGAAACAATAGCGTTCCGCACTTACGCTAAAAATAGCAAGCTCAATATTGTGACGCCACGCAATTACCCGGATCTCAGACAAACATCGCAATTCGTGAGCTGCAACTGGCGGTGTGAAGTTGGTTTCTTGTTCCTCGTTTGACATTCGACATTCAATGTTGAACAAGTAACTGTTCCATATTCGAACGTTGAATAAGTAACCGTTTGACATTCAGGGTGCACTTGCCTAAATGGCTATGGAGTGCAACAGGAACAAAACAAACTGTTTCCAATATATGTTGATTTGAATGGTGAACTCTGAGAAGATGTGGGGTTATTAAAAGAACCAGTAAGTGCTGACTCGACTTTTCGGTCAGGATACTCTCGCTGTCCTTTGGAGAGGGTGCTAGACTCAAGACCTTAATTTCAACCAGGGAAAAACTATGCGAATGTCTGCGTTAAGTTT